ATTCTTTCCGAGAAACTTCAGCCGATACAAGTCTTTTCTTAAATAAAACTAGTTTATTCTTTTTCAATTCAACTTTGCAATACACTTAATTTCCACAGTCACTTTAACTTAAACACACGCTATAATTCACAACGATTCACGAACTTTACTTACGGTCACTACTGCTCACTTGACTCGATTAACTATGTCTATATTTTCAATCTCTCTATCTGCTATTCCAATTCCAATTAATTTGTCTCGCTTTATCTGGCGCGCTTATATACAGGAATAGAGAGCGTCTAGCAAATACTGGATTATTCGTGATGTTCCCCGATCCTTCTAGAAACTCATCACGTGTAACCAGCGTCACATGACTTCCGCTGTCGTAACAGTATATATTTATACTATTAAGAAATATAACTAAAAGCCTTTTTATTTTGACAATTGCAAAAAGAAGAATATATATTTTAAATTCTGATATAATACAGAAATGTAATTTATATATACATTAATAATAACTGCATTTGTATTTCGTAATTATGTCAAAGCTACCAAGACTGTCTGCCACCATACTTAATTTTGAATTGCTGACCAAACAGAAGGCAGCTAAACTAGTAAGCAGCATACTGCGACCCACCACCCACGATAAGAGATTGACTTTAACTACTTTTGTTTTACACACCCACAGCTTAAAATTCGGGAAATATTTTATGATATCACATAAATTATAACGCGTGTCTGTCTGTCTATCTTGTGATTTCTATTTGTTATATAAGGAACCACTTCTTTTCTACGTGGTTTTTGCTAGCTTGCCTCATTAAGAAGATGCGCACACGCATGTAGATAAGTAATACCCAGGTGTATACCCTCAGGGTTTACTTAGCATGTTTGCAAAATTTCAGGTTTCTAGGTTCTTTCCTCATGGAGTTATGGCGGTCACACCCATACAGACACACATACCCACAGACACGCCCTTTTATTATTATAGACTAGCGAAAGTACCCGGCTTTCCTCGGATTATTAAGTTGATTTTTTCTAGATGACTATATCAGTGTGTGTATTCTGAACCCATTTTGGCATAAAAGTATAACATAAATACTTTTGTTGCTCCTTTACAGTATGTGGCCTGTTTATAAAGGTAACCTTCCCTCTGACTGTTGGAACGCATTGTTACCAAAATGCACTGACTTTTCTATATATTAGAAGTTGTTATATTAGGAACCACTTCTTTTCTATGTGGTTTTTTCGATAAATTGTCTCATTAAAAAGATGCGCACACACACACATGGATGATATAAGTAATGATACCCAGGTGCAGACCCTCAGGGTCCATTTAGTATGGGTGCAAAATTTCAGGTTTCTGGGTTTTCCTCTTGAAGCTATGGCGGTCACACATGTACAGACACGCACCTGCGCACATACACACGTGCATGTCTGTCTGTATGCGATTTCTAGTTGTAATATAAGGAACCACTTCTTTTCTATTTGGTTTTTCACTAGCTTTTTTCATTAAAAAGATGTGCACGCGCGTGAATAAGTAATAATACTAAGGAGCAGATCTACAGGGACCACTTAGTATTGGTGCAAAATTTCGGGTTTCTAGGTTCTTTGCTTTTGGTGCTATGGCGGTCACATATTCTTTTCTATGTGTTTTTTCGCTTGCTTACCTCACAAAAAAGATGCGCTCGCGCACGCGCGTGGATGAGTAATATACTCAGGTGCACACCATCAGGGTCCACTTAGTATGTGTTCAAAATTTTAGGTTTCTGGGTTATTTTCTCTTGGAGCTATGGCGGTCACACACACAGAACCACAGACACGCCCTTTTATTTTTCTAGATATTATACAATAGTTTGTTTTAGAGCAAAGCCACATTGGGCTGTCTGCTGTGTCGAACTCGAACCCCGAGTTTCAGCGTTGTAAGTGTAAACTTACAGTTATCCCACCGAGGGACCAAGACAGAGAAAGACAACACATCGACCAATAAGTTAAATTGTTCCACTTAGTAAAAAATAATCCGATAAAAAGAAACGATTCACTATAGCTGTGCTGTTAATGCTTATACTCATATGAACATGTAAAATGTTGATTATTTTACGAATGTGAAGACGAGCGCAAAGTAAGTTTGAAAAGTCTGAACTGATATGTTTACTTAACCCATTTGTTATCGGGACTCCGCTGGGTTGAACAGGTTCTCACCGGACTGTGTGTTACAAACCAGTCATCCCATATTTCGTGTTATTATTGAACGTTGTAAAGTATATAGTTTATACACTACATTTCTTGTCGAACACCACACGGCTGACCACGATGCGTTTGTTTGTTTTAGTGCAAAGCTGCACAGTAGGGGATTTAAGTCCCGGATTTTAACGTTTCACGTCTGTAAACTTACCACTGATCCACTGGGGGTCAACCACGATAAGAGAAGAAAGAAAGACGGTTGCAATGTGGTCACTAGTTTATTTAACGCAGTTATTTTTATAGATAGTTTCTAGTTTTCGTATGAGTGAAATAAAATATGGAAATATAGGGAAAAATCATTCATGGTTATTCAAAAATGTTGAACAAATTAATACTACGAATGCTTTTCATAACCCAATGAAAACATCTTACGTTTGCAAAAATAAGCAAATTGGATTAAAGGAGTCAACCATATAGAGACGCGATATCAAAAAGGTTTGTTTGTTCGTTGTTGTTTTAGCACAAAGTTACACAATTTGCTAAAAATGATACAGACTTGCGTACTTTGAAAAATTAAAAACTGTAAAACTTTATCGCTGTGAAGTCTGAAATACTAGCTTGTTTTTTGTTAGTTTTTTAAACACGTGCTTATCATTATACATCTAAGCAACAGTCAAAACAATAAACAAACTCTCGTTGGACCAATCCCTGTTCTCTGATATGATGTCTACTATTTCAACGCGCTTAAGTCTTCGAGAATTTCGTTATCAACGCTGCTACGTGTAATACTTGTATATACTGAAAATTTCAATAATGATGGAAACGTGAACCAAGTTTGAGCTAAAGTTGTTTTATTGCTATGAACTGCAAGTGTCTTGTATTAATACTGCATCCTATTTCGTCCTACAACGAAAAAATAATAGCGTAAGAAGCTACCATTATTTCTTTATTTTGATAAATATTCACGTTCAATCACATGTGTTCAAAATTTCAGGTTTCTGGATTATTTTCTCTCCCTCTCTCTCTCACACACACAGAGAGACCCACAGACACGCCCTTTTATTTTTCTAGATTTTATACAATAGTTTGTTTTAGAGCAAAGCCACATTTAGTGTTAAAGAGATCGCAAGAAATGTACAACTTATCGTAAAACTGGTCAGGTATGCAACTATGTGCATCAACGATTTTCTGGAGAAATGTTTGGAGGTTAATTATAATTCAAGCACATGGAAATGTAAACCTGTATTGATAATGCCAGTTATGTTAATCATCAAAATATTTGAAATACGCCTTTCGATTGTCAAACATTTTTATCTTTATTATGATAAATGATGATAGAGTTCAGAATTCATATATTTAAAGTCATTTACTTTCGGCATTATTGAATTTTTATCTAATATGCACTGTCTGGTATTATTAACTCCGACATATTAAACTTCCCTCATATTGAAAAATAAACATTTTATAGAATAACCCGTATAAACTGTAGTGGCTATTGTAAATAGTTAAGTTTGAACAAAACTCACAATACAACAAGATTTAAAAGATTGTAAATAAAATATTCAGCATTTTGGCTTGTTTTCCATAATAACCAAAATATACATGATTAAAATATCCAGCTACAATGCGGAAGTCAAGATTGTCTGGATCGGTGTTTGGTCGTTGTTCGCGACCTGGAAGGGTCAGGTTCTATTCAAAGCAGCCCATATCACAGTTGAGGTGTGGTCAACATCTCTACTGTATGAACTTGGTACACTTAATGCATTAAATTGAATAATCATTTTTAATTTTGCTTCAATGGAAAACTATATTCTGCATCAAGAAGTAAGAAATGTCCTTACAAATGAGAAAAGAGTGTGAATCATTAACAGTAGTAATTTCTTTATTCTCCCTGTTACGTCTCCGTTTGTTAATTAACTCTCCGTAACTTCGTACCGACGAAACTTAAGCGACAC